CCTTAAATCCTAGAGATTGATGTTTGCTAAAAATTTCAAGTTTTTCAGTTAGGATTTTTTTTTATATTTTAACCCCCCTTAACTCCCCAATATATTCATATTTTTTTTCAGTATCAATAGACTTTATCTTCTTATAAAGCTTCATTTTTACTAAAAATTTCATATTGATATTGCTTTTTCGTTTTTAATTTAGGATTTTTTTTTTTAATTTCAACCCATCTTAACCCCCTATTTTTAATCGAGATTTGTTAAAAATCAATAGACTTTGACCCCTTATAGAGCTTGATTTTTGCTTAAAATAAGTTCATATCATTTCTCGTTTTTGACTTATCGTGCAGACAAAAAACGTGACATCGGACAGACAGAGACAAAGTAAACCTATAATACTCTTCACAATCTTCACATAATACTATATGAAGAGTAGAAAAAAAAATGTATAAGGTAAAATAAAACAATTTTAAAAGTTCAACAATAATATTCAACTTTGTAAACCTATTTTTTTCTTTTGACAAAGAGTTTAGGTTATATACAGCACAGATGGGCGTCGTTTGGGGGGGGGGGGGGCCAAAGGGGGGGGACCACAGTTGCCCCCCCGCCCCCCCCCCCCCCCGGCTTTTAACGACTTAATCAACAACGCGTAAGATATGCATTACGAACAACAATCTCATATAGAAATAATAATATTCAGGCTAATATAGTTGAAGAATATTGTAGGTTGAATATATTTATTGCATATCTGGATTCTCTTATTACGTCCGCTTACATTACGCTTTTTCCGAAGACTCTGTTAGTTTTTCCTTAAGCCATCCCAAAAGCATAAAAAACAATACTTTTTCTCACTACTGTTTTAGATAATGAAAGTAGTGGAAAAAGTTTGAATTGACAATTTTGAAGCTGAATACCAAACTGGAGTACGAAAGAGCTTTCTGCACACAATGAGCTCTCCATTAATGATTATAGCATCCAAACATTGTGAATTTTATCCAGACATACAAAGTGCTTTAAAAAAATATTTATGGCTCTTCCACCAACGACAGAGTTAATCGAAATAACTTTTAGCACGCTAAGGCATGTTAAAACATGGCTGCGATCTATTCGATCAGTGCGAAGTCATGGTAGAGAAAGCAAAAGCGATAGTAGCGCAAGCTGCGGATAATTCGAGTACTTTAGGGCGATATTTTGTAATTTTGGCGTATCAAATACGTATACATTTTACTTTTTACTAAAAAATAGGTTAAAAAACAATAAAATGAGCAACCGGAGTTGCTATGTTGCAAATTGTACTAACAAAAAAAACTGTAAATTATATAAATTTTCAGTAACAAAATCGAAATTAAATCAAAAAAAATAAATACACAGCTGTATAATAAGAAGAAAAAAAAAACCTTTATTTTTGTAATAATAACAGTAATACTGGAAATAATAGACATCAGAAAAGGTTTTAAATAAAACAATAAATTATTATTTTGATATTCTTCAACATCCCTTAAGTATTAAATGTTTAGCAAATGATTAGATTTTTGCCCTTTAATGGGTCCTATGATTGAACGTTTATGTTATCCATAAACGTACATGTTAGGTCGAATTTTTAACAGTAACGAAGCAAGTTTGTATGATGGAAAAACTGTTAAATTAGAACATAACAGGCGGAAAATGACAGTAATGTGTTGGAAAACCGTTTTTCTCATCATACGAAACTTGCCTAATTACTGTTAAAACTGAGCCTAACATGTACGTTACGGATAACGTAAACGTTCAATCACAGGACCCCAATTATTGTATATGGCTAAAAATGCAATCTTGTGACTTATTGATAGGAAACCAGTTTTTAATCATTAATTTCTATGGGTTCTTTCGAACTAAAAATAAAGAAAATATAAATTACAATCGCAAATATACCAATTATTTTTGTTTAATACGTTTTAATTCTACGCTAATAGTAGTGTTTTTTATTTTGACATTATTTAACCCTATTCTTCAATGACAACTTATTAGGCTTAGGCAAGATCTCATACATTATCTCGTAAATGTTCTATGTTCTATTATTGATTTTTATTGATTATAATACTTTTTTTTAGCTGAAGTAATAAAAATATATAATAATAATATTAATAATTTTTTCACTTGTTTTATAAATCCATATACTTTTTATTTTGTCATTTTTTTGTTGGGTTATTTTATTTATTAGAGACTTGTTAACTATGACAACTTAAGCATCAGTTTCTGCCAAATAGGTCAGTGGCATTGTTAGGATTACTACTACAGTTCCACTCCCCCATAGCTTCGCTATTCAGTGAGATATCAGATTAATTTTGTTCTGTTTGAAAGACTTTCTTATGATGGATTCAATTGTTCTGTGACGTCATGGCTTACTTCCGATTTTTCCAAAAATAACAGATTTTTTTTTATTTTTAAAAGGAAACCCTCTTTTATTGTAAATTTAAATTTCTGGGACATTTATGTATAACAATCGTGTATTGACAATTTTCCTGTCAGCTGTCAAAATGGCTGCCATATTGGATAATATTTTTTCTAAATATGTTACTATTAATTCGTTTATGGAAAAACATATAGGAATGTACGAGCTTTATAAAATCTTTTTAGGCTTCCAAAATTCCCATTGAAAACCCATTTACCGTATACCAGTGGCGCCATCTAAGCATTTTTATTATTAGCAAACCGTTTAATAATTTATCCCGCTTTTTATCTTCGTTATTAATTGAGATATCGGAATGAAAACTTATTTGTTTAAAAGCTTGGGACAAATACTCTCATGTACTGGATTCAATTGGTGTGTGACTTCATGGCTTACTTCTGTTTTATCGGAAATAACAAAAATTTCAATTTATTTTTAATTTTTAAATAGAAAACCTCCGTTTTTATTGAACATTTGAATTTTAGAATCATGTGTTGAAAAATTTTTTTGTCAGCTGTCAAAAATGATCATCATATTGGAACATATTTTTTTTAATATGTTAGTGAGATAATTTTCAATACACGCTTCTTATACAAAAATACCCCAGAAATTCAAATTTTTCAATAAGAAAAAAGGGTTTTCATTAAAAAAATAAAAAAATTAATTGCGATTTTTCTATTATTTCTGGAAAAAACCGGAAGTAAGCCCATGACCGTCACAGGAAATAATTAAATCCATCATAAGAAAATTCCTCTTTTTAATTCATTTTCTTTGGTTTTCCCAATAAATAAACATACTAAATTTTTTCAAAATTTTGCCCCCCCCCTATAGAATTGTGTAACGACGCCCATGAGCACAGCAGCTCTACCGTCGGTGGCATAATGGTGTGAGTAAGGATTTGTTGTCTTGAAATTTAAATTATTTTAAATTGACTTTAGATACACTTAAATAAAATACAAAAAAGAGTATTTTAAACCATAGATGGGCACCACTGAATTTTTTATAGATCAAAAAATTTGGTATTATTTGATAAAGAAGTTTTTAAAATCTAAAGGTAAATTCAGAAACCATAGTAAATAAAATTTAAATAATTAAACCATAAATACATGAATCTGCAAATAGATACTTGTAGAGATGATCATGATGTTTCTGTGAAATAAAAGTCATACATAATTTAAATTGAATTTAATAGAAAAATAAATGAAAGTGATATATTAACAATATTTTCCTCAAATTGTTCGATGAGCATTAAATTATACAAACGTTCTTTGCTCAAAAGAGGAATAATGATATATTAACAATATTTACCCAATTCATTTGATGGAATCAAACTCTAAAAGTAATAAAATTGGAAGTATTTTTCTCAATCCACTTAGGTATCAACATTTAAATTTATAAACGGTAGAAACAATATAATTGAAAATACTCAATTCATATTTAAACAGTTAAAATAGTCAATAGAAATGGTGTAATTGAGAATATCCTCTCAATTCATTTCGCCAATAGTTGGAGAAATATATTAATAATAAAATAAGAAGGTTTATTTATACCTATCCGAGACATCTTGTTTAAAATGAAGGTATATTGTTTTTGAGTACTCAAAATAATATTTACCAAACTGGTTGTAAATAAAAGAAACAAAAAAGTATTCTTAAAACTAAAATCATACAGAAAATAAACAAACACCTGTTTCAAAATATAAGTAAAGTGTCTAAATAGACATTGCGAAACATATTGTTAAAATTAAAGAAAACATAATAAATACCAAAATATAATCCTAGGTCTGACAGCGGCACTAGGAAAGAGCTCTCTGTTA